CTGTCGGCCTCAGGGCTGGCTCTGCGGCCAGCACCCTGCCTGGCCCTCAGGTGGAGCCTAGTGACTGCGATGAGGTGACCTCAGGGCTGCCCAGCGGTGCTCCTGTCCAGGCAGAGGGCACTGCTTGTCCTGGCTGCTGAGTCCTGATCTGTGGGCTAGAATACCCAGACTTCTGAACCTCCTCTGGGGCAGTGTTTGGTGGCCTTGTTGTGGGGCGACACTGACAGCCTGTGGGCCCTGTCCCAGGCCTGATGCTCCACCCAAAGCTGGCTGGGTCAGGCCAAGCCAGCACGCACGCGAGCCTGGCTGGCAGCAGGCAGGCAGCCGGGGCGCGGACGTCGGCAGCGTGTGCGTGGGCTGGTGCAGACGCTCTGCTGGCCTGGAGCCGGTCTCCATGGCACCAGGCTCCCTGCCCACATTCTCCCGGGTTGGCCCTGGCAGCCCTGAGCCACGCGCAGGTTCCAAGCCCTGGGGCAAAGTGACCACCCACTCATTCAAGGTGTGCTGGTCAGCACCCTCTGTGGCTGGTGGCAGTTTCAGACGGTGATGTGAAAGCAGAGAGAGAGGTCCCACCCCAGGGAAGACGCCCCCAGAGCCTACCTGAGCAGGCGCGCAGTGTCCACCACCACTAGTGGAGGGGACAGTGTTCTGGACAGAGGGACCCGCACACTAAAACTCCTTCGTCTGATCAAGGGACCTAGACAGTGTGCCTGGGGTGTGGAGCGTGGGGCAGAGCAGTGGGGCAGTGGGGCCCTGCAGAGCCACAGCGAGGAGAGTGCGTGAGCACTGCGGACACGGGCCCTGGGGGCCTGGGCCACATGCTGTTCCTCACCTCTTGAAGTTCATCTCTTGCACATACATGTGCACATGCACACACAGACTTGACAAGGTCTTGCTGCACTGTGTCCTCCCAGTTGGGATCCAAACCAGCCTCCTCACTGGCTCCAGTAACCTGGGGTGGGCCCTACCGCCCGCTCCCTCGTGACTTACCTGGAATGTACGAGATGACTGTCACGGCCTCTCCATGTTCCCAGAGGGGTGGGCAGGGGCGCGTCATAAGCCATGTAGAAACCAGGGTCAGAAATGACAGGACACGGAGCTCAGGCGTGCAGGACCGTGAGCACCAAAGTGCCAGAGCTGCAGACCCGTGCCCTCCCTTCCTGGGGCCTCCAGTGCCACCTTCACCCCGGTCTCTGCTGTCATGGCGACAAGACTCCTGTAGAAGGTGTCCTTAGTAGCTGAGGAACAAACTCGACTCCCCCATTGGCTGGTCTGCCCGCCAGCCCCAGTCATTCTAAACACCACAGATGCAGCTGGTACGATTCCAGGGCCAGACGCCCGCCCCCGTCTCCCGCTCCCCCCCCCTGTCCCCCCCAGCTGGGCAGGCCTTCCTCCTATGACCGGAAAACTCCTCCGTGGGGCTGGGGTTGGGCCTTTCTGTCTGGGAGGCACTTCCTGCCGCCCACAGTGCAGGGCTGCCATGGCCACGGCTCTGACCCTGGTTACATGATGAGAACCTGCCTCTTTCTGTTCCCCAGGTGGAGTCTCATTCCTCGGTGGGTGGCGGCCAGGGCTCATTCACGGCTGTCTGTTCTCTGAAAGCGCCTGACTGGGGACAGGCAGGAGGGCTCTGGCCTCGCCGTGCAGCTACGTGGCTGGTTGCAGGGGGCACTGGCCTACTGGACTCAGTGTTGCCCTGGAGAGAGCCCGCAGGGTCCAAGCTGCCCTGGCAGCACACCTTCCAGTTCTACACCAGCCTCTGGCCGCTGATGGCCCGTGGCCAGGAGGCACAGCTGGTGGGCACGTGCCATCTCAACTCACTCCCAGTGTCCCGAATCTGTGAGACCAGGGTCATGAGCCCCAGGCCATGTGCAGCCCTGAGTCCTCTCCCTGGCCTGCGTGACACTACGTGGGTTTGCTGAAGAGGAACTGACCCACGTGCTCCGGCTCGGTCTCTGTGAGAGGCCTCCACATCCCGGCCCTTGGCCTTGGCACCAGGTCCGGAGGCAGGCGATGACATTAACACAGGAGGGCGGCCAGGTGGTGCTCGTGAGACCTCCAGGTCAGCCTTGCTGTGGCCGCAGCCAATGTCCGTTCCAACAGCTCGCTGCCAGGGCAGCCAGTGCGAGGCGGGGACAGAGGCCACGAGGCTCCGGCCCAGAGGGGAGCTCAGGAGAGCGGACTGCTCTGGGGGTGCTGAAAGGACAGCGCTCAGCCTGCGGGCGCAGAGCGTCTGCATTTTCCACTCCTCCCTGGAATTCTGTCGTGCAGTCTTGGCAAAGGCAGCTTCAGCCTGAAAGCTCTCCCATCTATTTTTAAAGAAATGGAATTCTCTCTACCCGCATGAAATTTGCCCAGACCGGTGTTCCCATGTCCCACTTTGCCTGAGCTGGGAGGTGGGGTGCCGGCGTGCAGGCTGCTGACCATGCAGCCCCGTGGCAGGGTGCGGCTTGCGCGTGCACGATTGAGGAGCCGGCTGGCAGGAAGGACATCCCAAAACCGGGAAGGGAAGATTTCCAGACCTTGATGCAGAATTCACTTTTCCAGAACCTTCTGATACGTCAAAGCTGCCGGTGCAAATGGTGTTTGTGCAAGAGAATGCAAGCTGTCGTGTGCACCCCCAGCCTGGCTGGAGGGGCCTTGCCTTTCAGACACTCCCTGGAGGTTCTGCAGGCAGTGGATGGCTCCCCAGAACCTTAGGGGTACGTTCCTTGTTCTGACGCCCGGGACACCAGAGAGCCTCGCTCCAGTCTGAGGGCGGAGCAGCTGCCCCACGGTGCCTGAGTCCTCAGGGAAGCCGGCCCAACCACGGCCCCCTTTGCTACGACAGCAGACCTGAAGAGCTGCCCTCTGGGAGGGAGGTACACACAGCGCCGGAGTTGCCAGTGGAACTGGGGGGCCTGGGCTACCTGGTCAGAATGGGGCAACCTGGCCCTTGTGCAGTTCATATGTGTGAGCTGCAGTTGCTTTGTCTGGCCCTAGGGAGAACCAGGGCCAGGGGTGCCACCCTGAGGCAGAGAGGCAAAGCCAGCGGCAGGGCGCTGTGCTGCTCCTGGCCCATGGAGGTCTGCCCTGCCCCAGTGCACGTGCTGGTGCCTCCTCCTCAGCCTGGGGTTGGTCAGGGAGCTTGGCCGGGACCTGGGGTTTGTGACTAGCCAAGTGTTGGTAATGCCAGCTGATGTGTGAGCCTGCAGGCAGGGGTGTGTCGGGACATCCTGTGTGCATGTGGCATCAGGTGTGCAAACTGCATTCCAACCGCAGCATTCCAGAAAAGACACCAAGCTGCCCTGGCCCACACCTGCCTTGCTTTCAGCCAGAACAGGAGGCCTGAGCCACTCGCTCTGGGGACCAATGGACAGTCACAGCCCGGCTGCCAGCGCCGGGAGTGGTGTCGTGTCCCGTGAGGACAGTGCCACTGCTCACGGGGGCCTTTCTTCTGTAAGGTGAGGGACGAGGCAACAGGCACCTCCCCAGGTGCGCCAGTGGCACGTCAAGAGAGGCCCTGACAGCCCCGCGGCCCAGGAGCCACCCGGCCCTGAGTCCTGGGGCCCTTCGGCCTGGTAGTGGCAGGTTCCAGACTGACTGCCCCAGGACACCGTAGCTTTCTGGCAGAGGGGAGGCTCCTGCCTGTGTCCAGGGCCACCTGTTCTCCATTGTCCCAGACAATGGCACTAGTATCCCCACCTGCCTCCGCGTTGGCCTGCGGAGCCCACCCTCCAGCCCCCTGCCCCTGCCCTGAGCCCCTTGGAGGTCTACAGAGCAAAGTCCAGGCCCCTTGGGGCTTCCAGGCCCCAGGGCGCTATCTAAGGTCTCATCTCTCTGCCCCTCGCACCCCCTCCTGGCCTGCCTCTTACGACGCCCTCCCCTACAGGTCGGAGTGAGGAGCGGAGGCCCGGTCCACTCCGCTACCTTGAGCGCAGGCATTAACGGCTGAGCCGCCCTGGTGAGGAGCTTGTCATGGCCTCCCTCTGCCTCGCTGCCTCGCTGCCTCGGCAGAAGTAAGAACCCCACCAGGCGCTGACCCGCTCTGGGGTCCCGGAGAGCGGGGGCTGCTCAGGCAGGCCCACTCACTTGGTCCTCTCTCCAGAGGTGCCTGGGCGGCGTGTACCCAGCCCGAGCCACGGGAGGGGAGCAGAAGGGTCTGCCTGGAAACCCAGACGCCCAGCCCAGCGCCTCCCCTCCCCTCTCCTGCCGCAGCCCGGCGTCGCCGGGGTTAACGGGGGGCGGGGCGGGGCGGCGGGGGGGGGCGG